ATTTGTGAAAAAATTTGAAAAAAAAATTTTAAAAAAAAAAAAAAAAAAAAAAAAAAAAAAAAAAAAAAACAAAACCAACAACAACAACAACACTTTCCCATCCTTTTTTAGACAACTCATTTGTATGTAATCCATTTTGTAGCTCCATTATGTACAAGTAGCATTATTTAAAATTTATAGTCTTATATGCAAAAATAAATATATTATTACATTAGAATATATGTCAAGATAAATAAAGAAATAAAAAATCCAGAAAACCTAAGAATAGCATATGGACTAGAGTTATTCCCTGAGTAATAACTCACAGGCACCAGCAAATTTATTTATTTATTTTTCTTTTTTTTTTTTGACAAGGATCAATGACATTGCGGTGAGTGGAATTCTATGAAAATTTTTCTATACGTGTAGCAAAACTTGATGGACTAGTACTAAGCATATAGACTAGTACTAAGTAGTAACCAATATCTATTCAAGCTATGGCCTCTGCATAGAGCAAAAGTTGTTAAATCAGAAGGGAGACATATAAAAGTGTAAACCATTTCTCTTGCCTCAGCTTGGTACCAAATCCTAGTAAGCTGTAAGCAACCTATCTTGAGTGCTCGATTGAGTTGTTAGCCTCTAGTTGAGAGGAGGATCAGAACTTTATTTTTGGATTTTTCAAGTCCTACTATTTCTATCATTTCACTCAATCGACGATTGTGATTGTATGAATTGAGCTATCGAAACTCCCAACAGGATTCTTGAATGAATAAAGCCAACAATTGTTAGCGTTGTAGGCTCTGATGTTTTTTAAAAACCAGGAAGCTGAAAGCCAAGAAAACCTCTTTTTATTTTTATTTTTTCTCTATTCTTTCCCTTATCTCCCGGGTCCTCCACTTCGTAACCAATATCTAATCTGCGATCTTTACTTCCACTGTGAAATCTCATTTGGCCCACATGCTCATATAAATACATTTAAATAAAAAAAAAAAAAGATTGAACCCCGACCTTGAGAGCCTCCACTGCCCCATCCCTAGAGCTTTGTGAGGGAGGTAAATCGCAGGATGTGCCCAACAAGCCAGGGAACAAGAGTTGGCTGTACACTGCGCCTACAAGGAGTCCAATTTCATGTCTCAAGAATCGAACCCCCATACTGCGGCTGCGAGCAAAGCGTGAGATAACCTCACTCCTATCATTTGCACCACTAGGCTATGCCCCAGGGTGCAAATACATTTAAATTATTAAGGTTTTAAGGAGACTGCCTAATAGACTAGGATAACTAGATAATCATTCAAGTCATTGGTGTGAATTTTAATCTTGATAAATAAGTAATTAAAAATAATTAATTAATTGTAATTATATATTTCATGTAATTTACAACTTTTAAACTATATAATCAAGTAATTGTTGGGAAAAGTATTGATTTGTCATGTTGGCCGACATATGTAATTAATTATGTATAAAGACTAATTGGGCTTATGACATCTAAATAAAATTTGGGTCAGATTATATATGTAGAGATATGATTCTTTTAAATTTTTATTTTATGATGGACGAAATACATATGAAAACCATATTTAGGGTTATGGTCTCAATTCATATATAATTTTCATTATTTATCTCATCACATCAACCCAAGAATTATAGAAAAAATATATTGAAGAGAAAGATCCAAAAAACTCACAATAAAAAAAGGGCAATCTACATTCAAGAATCAAGAAGAAGGATTCGATCAAAGATTCGAAAGATAAGATTTAAACATTATAATTCGAGATTCATCATCCGAGATACAAATCAATGGATCAAGGTATGCTCCGCATTAATTATTTTTCTTGGTGATTTGACATGAAAATCTTGGCTATTATATAAAGTTTAAATTTCATAATATTCAACAGTAATCTCTGTCAATATATATGAACTATAGAGGGAATATGTTAGAAGGATTTTCTCATAAACATGTTATTTCGAAGATTCTTGAACTATAAGTTTAGTTATTTTCATTTCTTTTTTGGTCATAAACATCTCTTAAATCCACCTCTTCATTTTTCTCGAGCAAATTACTTGCTTATGCGTAGGTTTGTCGGTTATTGTCAGCTCTTTAATTTGGACATACGTTATGGCATAGGCTTGCCTTGTCCTTGTAGTCTTGTCGGATTTTAGGTGCGAGGCAATGCAAGATGAGAAATGCTACATATACTTAATTATCTATATAATGATGTTCATAATTACACGTGGCACTGAATCTAACATTTAATTCAAACCTCACACTTGTACATCAATAACCGGATGATTGTCACATTACATTATGAACACCATTATATGCAATAATTATGTACAAATAGAATTTTCTATGCAAGGTTTCAACCATGGGACAAAATAATTTGATGGTTGTGCATGAATATAGTTGATTAGCATCGATTGATGGTAGGGATGTAAACGAGCCGGGCCGAGCCGGCTCGCGAGCCTAAAGTTTCGGCTCCGGGCCCGGCCCGGTT